TTGAATATGCTGGAAATAAGTGCATTTTGTGAGTCAGCGCTTTAAAGTGATGTACGTAATTGGGAGCGCATTATCAACATTATCCAATAAACCAGCTGACCCAAGTCAGATTATGTCGAATGAGGACGGTTCAGCGGTTCAAGTGCTTATTGCTGATCGTAGATCCATAGAACAATCCGATATGACTGTTCGTGCATTTAAATGGCCACGAGAACTCTCACTGCTAGCCATATTAAGGATAGATTTCCGCACGGTATTTTTGTGACCCAGAAATAGGGTGTGGTTTCGATCCCCTTTTGGAAAAATATTTTTCGATGAACGTTCGACAGACGTTGTTTTCTACATACGTCTTAAATTCACCAACAACTTATAAATAAAACAAATTAATGAAAAAAAAAAAACAAAACATTATGTTGAATCTAAACCGTTCTCGAATCCACTTGAACACAGAATTTTTTTTTATCAAAAAAAGTCATATACACACGCACAGAAGAATTATATATATTTAAAGATAATATGGATTTATTTACAAGAGAAAAGTATGTTTTTATTACGTTTTTCAGCTACCTGGTACGTCTAGTAGACGCTTTGCTTTATTTGGGACTATATATATATTTTTAATGTGAAAAATTGCCAAGCGAGCAGACGGTTCACCTGATGTAAGTGAATACCGCAGCCCATGGACATCTGCTACACCCGAAATGCGTTGACAACCTTTTGAAAATTGGGCTGCGGCTACCTCACTCGTCTTCTTGATGTCGTGGTACTCACCCGGACGAGCCTGCGCATTCGTGTGAAACCGCCGAGGCTGCTGCGTGGCCCTACCACCGTACGTGGCCCTACCACCGTAAAATATAACTTTAAAGAATGAAATATTTATTTATTGACTTATTTAGAAAATTGTTTCCAGTGTACGTGTACTTGGTGCCCGTACACTGACGGAAAACTCAGTACGGAATTACTGCCGTGTCGCGGGAAAATGCTTCGAAATTAACAATACGGAAAATATATGTACTCTCACGCTATTTTTGTTTTATTTTGTAAATGGGTAAAGTGCTGATGCATCATTAGCGCTTATATTTCATTCTGTAATACGCTCATAATGCCCCGGGACAGTCTCCGAGGTGACTGGCCGTATTAAGCACTTAATAATGGAGCCTAACGGCGCATACTTAATGAACACTAGCTTAACTGAGTCGCGTAAAATGATCTGGTATACCGCTTTGCTCACCTAAAACCGAAACTTATATAGTTTGATGATATAGGATATGTACGTAACACATACAAACGCGCTTGTGACCCAGGGGTAGGCAGAGATTACCATTATACATCTTTTAATACGATCAATAAAATTATATTCGATGAATAAAATAAATATCTGCCAATGCAGAATCTTCACGGTTTGGGATTTTGACGTTACCAGCACATGGTTTATTAATTTGTCTCGTTGTTGTTTATTTCGTGAACTTAGCTAGCCGGAATTCAATTAGAAAACTTTAACTTTTGTAAACAACTTTGGAAAGTTGCATTGTCGAGAGCCGCGTTAAAATACTTTTTGTTTCACGAAATTGCACTTAGGTGTGAACCTTTTTCTACCAAGTTGAACCTCAATTATCCGACAGTAGCAGTTTATATAAATTATTAATTTGCAATTAGTCGAGTCTCAAGTTGATTTTTTTCGTACCGTGACCAAAGATTTCGTTGATCAACTTCAAGTAGGGGGCTGATTTTAATAAGTCGTATAGTTAAAATAGAAAAAGGTAAATTTAAGGAGATAGTTAGAAAGTTTTTTATGTTAGAAGGTGGCTAGCGAGCTGGCGGTTCATCGGATATCCGCCTACCCATGACTATTAGTAAGTAGCGTGGGGTTTCAGATGCGTTGCCACCTTTTAATAAAGTGGACCACGGTTACCTTACACACGAGACGAAACGCAGAATTATAACACTTCGAATTCACGCCGGTCTTCTGTGAGGTGGTGGTAATGTCCTGGACGGATCTTCACTCGCGCAATAGCGACTGTTGCGTGGCCTTATAGGGGAAGTGACTATAGGTAGTTGTTCTGCAGCAGTCGATATGTGAGACCGCTTCGGTTACCAGCGTACAAATGTTTTGGTGACACACATCCGGAAAAACTGGTCAAGTGCGATTCGAACTCAGGCGCCGAGGGTTCCGTACCTACCCATTATACCGCCATAATAAAATTGGTATCATTTTTATTGGTGGCTAAGTTGGCTATCACTTTTATTTTAAGTTTGTGTGTGTGTGTGTGTGTGTGTGTGTGTGTGTGTGTGTGTGTGTGTGTGTGTGTGTGTGTGTGTGTGTGTGTGTGTGTGTGTGTGTGTGTGTGTGTGTGTGTGTGTGTGTGTGTGTGTGTGTGCTGTAATGGTGTGTGTGTGTGTGTGTGTGTGTGTGTGTGTGTTCGTAGACAGGCCGTGGATAATAAAAAAACTTGAGACTGTATGTATTGAGAAGCCCTTTATTCTTTACTTTAACTTTTTTATTTTTTAAAATTTTCCCTTTATTTGTGCTTTAAGAACTTGCTTTTTGCCAAATTTCGTGATGCTAGATCAACAGGAACTACCATATAGGTTTTCAACCCAAAACCTATAGGGTACTTCCGGGGTGACCTATGTTTGCCAATTTTGGTCAAAAGCAAGGTTTTTTACAACACACGTAAAGGGAAAATTCCGAAAATAAAAAAGGCTAAAAGTTAAGGTAAATTTTGGTACTGAGAGCCGTGAGCTGTGTCCGGGCGCTCGCCTTTAATCCAATTTACTCGAGCAACCTGAGTTCGATCCCCGGTGCCAACACCAATGAAATTGTTCATTTTAAGGAAAATCGTGAGGACATCGTAAGGAAACTTTGTTTTCGATATAATAACAAAAAAAATATTTCGAATAAAAAATAAAAAAAATATGTGAAGTCCGCTAATCCGCAGTGGGGTCATGTGGTGACACATCTTCACGGAGGATGCCTTTGCCCAGCAGTGGGACATTTCTAGGCTGTTAATTTACTTAAGTACTTTACTTTACTTGGTACTTACAAGTTTTCGAGAAAATATAAATTCGCCCATATTTTTTATCGTGTTGACTCAGAATTTCGATTGTTATACTTATATTGTGTATCTGATATAAATTTCAACTTGCTAGGTCCACCAGTTCCGGAGAAAATCGGTGGTGACACACGGACAGACAGACGGACGGAGAGTGATCTTATGGGTTCCTTTTTTTACCTTTTGAGGTTGAAACTATTAACTACGGTTTGGATGGAAATTAAACATTAGTTACTTCATTGTAGCCCGTTAACTTAAAAGCTGTTAACCACTTTGTAGTAAGCGCATAACATTTCGCTAGGTGCGGTCTCACAGTAACCGTGAACTAGTCTATAATTTCATTGTTCGTGAGCAACTTCGGAGCTCGACGCTGGCTGGCGCCGAAAGAACGGTTAAATGCAATTTTATATGTTGACGCAAGTGTATATAGACCCGTTAGATTGTTTCGAATTTTTACAGTGCACTTAAGATAAACATTAAAATTTGTAGAAAAAAGCACGAAAAGCTCTCTCGATCAAATTATCGTCTATAACGATATTTGAAATTGGTTTTATACTGTAAAGGATATAATAATAGATACACAATAAAACATATTTACAACATTTTTTTAAAACATTGCCCTTAAATTAGGATAACATTATCCTGTGTTGTAAGCACATGTTACAAACATAAATTTTACGCGGACAACACAACAGATGCGAAACAACTATCTGTGGGTCACACAAATAGTTGTCCCGTGTGGGGATCGAACCCACGACCCCCGACGCCGAAGGCGACTCGGCGACTGCGCCACGGAGTCATCAAAATAATAGACTTGTTAAGGACTGTGTTGAGTCGATGACATCGCCAACTTTCTGTCTACCCTTTGGCAAAGGCCTCCCCCCCCTCTACTCGGTTTAGAGCTTTCTTTATATAGTTTTCCTGCTGTCGCCTTTATCTCGTCTTCCCACTTCTGTCTGCCTCGTTGCCTTTTCCATTTCTTGGGTACCTAAACACTATTTATGGTTCTGTTCCATTTTTCGATGCCTCGTATCGTATAGGTCCATTGCCATTTAGCTTCCGCATTCTAATTGTAACATTTCGTATTTTAGTGTGATTTCTGATGGTTTCGTTTGGTACTCTGTATGATTTTAATAAACTCAGCATGCTTCTCTCCATCGTCTGGCAAGTTTCTAATTTTTTGCATTGCGCTTTGGGGAGGGCTCAGGTTTGGCAGCCATTGGTAAGAACTGGTAGCACGTAAGTCTTGTACAGTTTTTATTTTACAGACACATTTATTTCTTTATCTTACATAGTTTCTTTTAGCCGCCAGTAGCATTCCCAATTCTAGTGTATGTGTTTTTTCTACGTTTACTTGCAGAAAAACAGACTACAAAAAACCTATATTTACGAAATAAAACCGAAAGAAACATTTCGAAAATATAAGAAGTCGCTCTGCCCTATGCCCAATTCCCTCTGTGCAAAGGAGGTCTTTGGCCAGCGGTGGAACGTTACTTTACTTTCACCAATGAAATTATTCAGTTTTTAGACATACAACATCACAATGAATATGTATGTACATGTCTAAAAACTACCCTAATTCCAGCCAGGGGGGTGGGCACAAGATGTGAATCATGTAAGTTGTTTTGGCTGTATTTTACGACCGGCCGCCGTGAACCCTCCCTGGGTTAAAACAATATCATACGCAATTCAACAAAGTATTCTTCTCTATTTACAAGACTTGGGTTCGTTATTGTTATACAATCAAAGTTAATTGATACTATGTGGGCTAGTTTAAAGCCTTCAACGTACTAATATAGCATCTCTTACTCCAATTGACTGAAGAATCGACGAGACACTGTGGTCATATGTACAATTATAAGCACTCCTTGTCATACTCTAATACGGATGAATTCAAAAGTATGAACGCGTACGTACTTGTATAACGTAGTATATATATGCTGGGCCATGTCTACTACTTGGTTGCGACCAGAACAGACCACCGAGACTAAAGTAGCGGTATTACGGATCCGCAGCTGGACTCTGGAATCATTATTGTGCCACCATAATGATTGTGCTGTAAGTGGTTGGATTTTGATTGATAAAATAGACTTTATGATGTATATTGTTAGTTTCAGATATTTGTACACTAATATGAACTACTAATACATCTAGCAGTAAACGCGAAACAAGTTTGAATAACAATGTAGAAAAATGAAATAAAAGTCTGTTAGTAATATAAACGGTGTACGAACTTTTTTATAATTGTTCCCGTAAAACAGACCGCAAACTATGAACCTAGTAACAAAACATTAATACATTTTTGAACATTTATCTCTTAACACCTTTAAAACCTTCCTTACGAAATTTGTTTCCTTTAGATCTCGATAGATGTACAGTCAGCGATCTTTAATTTTATTAAAGTAATATTTTTTAGCCCATTAATGACATGTAGAAAAAGTGGAAAGTTATATAACTATGTAGTATCTCTGTTAAACGTGTGCACTTTTTTTTAAATACATACTACTTCACTTTGAAGGGTATCATCAAAAATGTTTACATAATCTTTTACGCATCCGTAATACTTATCGCTTATGTTGCTACAGATGACATCGTTGAGTGTAAACAAAACTTTCATTACAACAAAATAACAGATTAATAAATGAAAATGTACAAGATAATTACACTGAAACGCAGCGAAACAGATAATCGATAATTACTTAAACAAATGACATTAAAAAAATAACGTTAAAGTCAAAGAAGATCGTCTCTAAAGATAAAAAACAAAAACCGTTCCTTCTTCGAATTTCGAACATGCGAAAACAAAACCGCATTCGATTCTAATCGCAGGCCGCTTTTAAGCTGCCGCCTATCCGTCAAAAAAAAAGAACACCAACCTTTCAAAACTCGAGGGACGGACAATCCGAGAAACAGTCGAGCACCGTACGCGTTTGGTCGCACCGACAACTTCGCGGACGCTCGTGGAAGGCGGCAACTTTCGACACGGTGGAGTCGCCGCGACCGCATCCAAAGGCGGCCGCTTGCCAACTGCCAGTGCATGCACAGTGCAGGCGGAGACTTGTGCATCGATTCTATACGAACGTATAAGGTGTACGGCTTGTGCCAGACACAGACACATAAAATCGCGACGTCGCGCCGAGGAGCGTTCGGTAAACCGCAAAGATAAACGGCGGGCAGTGTTGGAGCACCTCAAGGCACCATGGGCGGTCACTTAACATCAGGTTAGCTGTCTGCTCGCTTGTCAGCTTTCATATAAAAAAAAACAACAACTAACGCAAAGCTATAGAGTATCGCGGCCTTGTCACATAGTTCCCTTTTAAGTTCCCCAAGTTTCCCTTTACGTAGTGAACTGAAATAGCGAAATTTTTAGATATTTACATTTGGCGTCTACATACCGCTTAATTTGACAGCACTCACCGATAAAACAAAAAGTTTAAAATGAGTTCGATATCGCATCTATATAATAAAAACACGTATAGCAAACTGTTTTTTTTAATTCCGTATGTCTTCTTAAACTATATACTATCGGATGATTGCGACAAACACTTTTGCGGCACGCGCGCTAAAGTTTCCGAGTTGGCAACGGAAATTAAGAAATAGATGCGCTGCAATTACACATAGCCAGCATTAATCGAAATTCGAGCACTCTACGCAACGCATCTGCAAACTACATATAAAGCAAACGTAGGAACTGTTATGTTTATACGATAAAATATAAGGTTTCGTCAAGAAAAATAAAGCATGATATTTGATAAAGCGTTCGAAATTCGAATCCTACCGGATGGTCGGATTCAAAACAATGCGTTAGTAAACTTGGATGGATGATAATTCGAAGCATCGCGGGGGTGTATTCACGGGTCGCGGAGCGTGGAAGCTACAAAACGTATCGGATACCGAAACGAGCTTATCCCGTACTCGTATCCTTTGTTCTGCTTACAATGGCTGCCTACTACAATTTCACTTTCGGCTAAGGGCGGGTGCACATTACAGTGCCAGACGTCAGCGGAGTAGGGACAAAGCGATGTCAACGGCCCCAGCGGAGGCGAGCGATGACCGACCAGCGGAAATGCCGCCTTCCTATCGTAAACTTTGTACGGAGGTATGAGCCTCATGGTTTTGTCTTTAGCATTGAAAGCGCTGCTGATTCAAAGCGCGCCTGCTGCTCATAAATGTGCTTCCCATTGTGAGCTCTTTTAATTTAGCGGTATTACGCTTTCGTAATAAGAAGAAAGAAGTTATTTTAGCGTTTGAAATTTTGAACAATGATTCTTGGTCCTTCGAACCAGATATAAAGGACTGATCACTACACAAATGGTATGGTTAAAGCAAGTGTTGAATCTACTGTTCTTTTTGAAGTGATATTATTCATATTGAAGTCATATGTTTACTGACTTGGACCTATAAAACATCTTTTACACAAAACACCTGTTACAGTTGTATGAGCATTGGTAAAGTATGGAACGCAGTGAATTGGTTTATTCTATACGGCCAAGGAAGAAATTCGAGTATCTTATTTATAAAGAATATAAAAAAAATCGTTTACATTTGCAACGATTGCTGACGTTTCGTAATTTTTTCGTAAGAGATTAACAAGTTTTAGTGCCTATAAAATATATATTTTCATTTGCTCCGTTAGTTTGTAATATTATCAAAAAAAGAAGACACTAACTTTCCTTATTTAAAACAGAGAGTCACATTAAAATTAGTATGCATAAAAACGTCAATTAATTCGAGTTTGCCGGCGAAACCAACTGCGCAGAGTTATTTTTTCTTTTTCATTAATTCTTACGGCATCACCATTCCACAGACATAGAAGTGCCTCGCTGAAAGAACATTTTATAGTCCAGACTGCCGTTGAAAACGAAAGTAATCTAAATTAAGATACGAAAATACGTGCAGTCTGCATGACTGTATTCCTTTGCAAGCTAAAATTAACACTTCATTTATTTAAATATTCTTTGAAACATAGTTGTCAAACAAACTATTTGATTGCTTTGCTAAAGACACAATGTCTTGTGGGACATTTTATAGACATGATTTTAACTGCGCGGATGATGTAATTTTGATGACATTGTAAATCTGTTAACCTCAGCCATTGCGTGCCGTGTTATGGTTTCGATCTTCGTATGGAGCAAAAATTTGCGTGGTCTATAAATAAAAATAGATGTGTATTTATTATGCTTTCGCCATCAAGAGGAGCCTTCACTGGTTTGGTTAAATCCATTTTTCATTAACCTCAACAATTTCCCATGTTTACTCGTTCAAAGTCAACTCAACCACTTCGGAGCTAACAATCACCCAACCTTGGTACGGTTACCGTCTTACATGAGCCCGTATCAATGGCTGGAGACCACCCTGACACAGATATAGAGTAACAAATTCAGAGATTACGTTCAACATGTTTAACTTCACGCGTGCTCACAGTTCGACATTAGTGTTCACATCGGTCTCTTGATGATATCAGGTAGAGGTCAAAATTAATGACAAAAACCGGCCAAGTGCTAATTGTAGCATGAAGGGTTCCGTACCATTATCAATAATAACGGCAAAAAAATCTTGTCTGTTGAGCTCCATTTATAGCATTATATTTTTTTTGCATTTGTTGCTATAGCGGCTACAGAAATAGATCATCTGTGAAAATTGGAATGGTTTACGTTACGAAAGTTTTCAACAATACATTTTTCAAGTGTCCACGAGGGCTTTTGTTTTGAAAGTATCGTCAAATGAAAACAAAATAGTTTAAAATGTATTGAACAGAATATACTTGAGTTAACAATACAATAACATTAATTCTGTGAGACAGAAAAGTAATTGTAGGCTGTAATATGTTTGCATGAACCTGTGACAGATACATAGAGGTTTGTGTGAAACTATCGTCAGTAACTGTAGACGAATAGCGCGTGGAGATTTTTTATGGAGTGGCTTCCAAACGAGTAGGTGTAACGCGTGATTGGAAGTGAATATGAGCGACCATGGAAATCAGTAACTTCCTTGAGGTAAAACCCTGCATTGCTTTGTAAACCTGTAAGATAATTGGCCCCTAGTAACGTCACTTCGTAGACGAAACACAAAGGTACAGATAGACTATACTAGACTTATCTTCCTTTATACGTCGATATGCATAGTTATATAATTTTTACACTTATGTAATAAAAAAAAAGATAAGAAGATCACAGAGTTTCTTGCCGGTTCTTCTCTGGACATATTTAGCTTAGTGAACCGGTGGTACATCCTTGTTATAATATTATATATATATATATATATATATATATATATACATATTTTATGTATATCTCTTTCTGTCTGAATATGACGCCTTCAGCCTATTCTACGCAGACGTAGTCGCGGGCAGCAGCTAGTATTGAATAAAGAAATTTTGATTTTCATAATGATAATGATTTTTGTACTACGGGACTAGATGTACTTTCCATCCCAAACTTCTTTCGATGTTCCCTGTATCAAAAAGGATGAGAATCGGAGTATATTTGTTAGCACCTTGCTCAGTTAAAGGTCATTTTACTTAGTAAATTTTGTTAATTGTTTGTCCTATGATGCTTTCATAGACAGTTATATATAAATATTGAATATGTACACACAAAAATAATAAGAAACCTCTTCGCGTGACATGACGTCGTATGTCTTGCAAGCAAATCTCGGTTTCTTGCAGGGGGGAGGAGCCTACTACACTTCTCTTTGTCTGAACGCATTCTGCTCCCGGCTTTCTGAGGATAGATTGGCGTACAAAAACCTCACGGTGGCTCGGCTACGTCCCGATGATTAATGTAGCTTTATAAATCCCATTATCGAGTTTGTTACAGGCGTGGACATTCCTAGAATGCTTACCAGTCTAAAGTAATGGGACCATTCCCGGTTTACGATATTGTATGATGGCTGGTTGGTCATTGTGGTCAGCTAACATACGAAACAAGTAGATGGTAAAATTTTTTTTTGGTTTAGGCTTTTTTTAGGCTCGGTATTATATTTAACAGTGTATTAGTATGTAATTTTGGTTAAATTAATGATGATTTTAGTGCGTTATACATTTCTCAAGGGACCCGTGACCATGAACGCTGAAAAGTGTTCGGACCGTCGGAAACAGGGATGAAAATCGGAAATACAAAGAAAAAGGAATTGTTTACAACTTTCAGTATTCCAAAAGTTAATAGAGCTTCATTGTCCGTATGAGATTGGTTCGCGAAAAACTGAATGAGTCAATAAATGTACGATTTAAATAAGATTGGACTGCCGGTGATTTGACTATAAATTTCTCGTAAATCGTACGTAACAAAAACCCAACTTCGTAGAAACATTACTTGATCCTTCAAACGTAAATCCACCTTAAAGCAGACATCAAGTCTGGCCAAGAAACGAAAAACGAGTTGTCCTGTTATATGGATGACATTTTAATTGGGATGAATGGTCAACGAACCTTAATGGAGCATAAAATTCAATTATGGACACGCGGTCGTTCGACATTTTTGCAGACGAAATTGATTTTCAATAATTGATTGAGATATATGCAAACTAAATTTGTTCGTGCAATAAAACATTTTTGATAATTTGAATGTGGTGACATCGTTATCAAACTCGTGTGAGCGTTTTAAGTTATTTGCAAGTTTGTTTGCTATGTTTTTCTATAAATAAATTAGATTTATACATATATAGACTTCATTAAAGACTCATTATTCTAAATAACATATAGTATATTTTTTACACTAATCACAAGGTCTGTTAAAAAGGCAGCGGTCATTTAAATGCGATTTCGACCTGCATTGCTACTTGCTCCTTTTAATTTCTATTAAAACGATTTTTTCCTTACTTTCTTCTTTCCCGTTAATAATTACAAAATAAATTTTAATTTATCAAGTGTAGAGTGAACTACGACAATTAAAAATAAACTTGATTAAATATGATCTTTTTAAACGATTTCATATCATCCAATGATTCAATGACACCAGCTTTTTAATACTTACGTAATGGAAGTGGCACGACGATATACTATGACTGCTTTGGCGTCAAACTGGTGTCAAATAGAAATTGGAGTCAAACTTGCTTTCAATAAGACTACTGAACAGGTACATAAAACTATTTTATGGTGATTCCATTGTCAGGTTATTGACCGAACGAGCAATGAACGTCTCGACGGGGGGTCTGATTCCTTAAAAGTTTTCTCTTGTGTTGCGATCTTTCATTTTCCTCTAGAGACCCTTCTCTTGCGCCAGAGGGTGTGGGTTCGATACCCGCTACTGGAAAAATATTGTGTGATGAACATGGTTTTTCTAGTGGCTGGGTTTGGTAGTTTATATTTCTATTATATGTATTTATTTAAAAAAATATAAGTACGTTTAAGTATATTCATAAGTTATCTAGTACTCATAGTACAAGCTTTGCTTAGTTTGGGACGAGATAACATTTTGTAAAAAAATGACCCGAAATATTTATCTTATATTCTATGTTATAACATTCCACTGTAATCTTCTTTTTGCCAAATTTTGTGATTCGTTGTCAACGGGAACTACCATATAGGTTTTCGACCCAAAACCTATATATACCTACGGTTGACCTAGAATTGTCAATTTTGGTTAAAAGCAAGGTTTTACAGCACAAGTAAAGGGAAAGTTTCGAGAAATATAAAAAGTTGAAAATTCAGGTACTTGCAAGTTTTCGCGAAAATCTAAATTTGCCCATATATTTTTATCGTGTCGCCTCAGAACCTCGATTTTTATACACCAAATTGTTAGCTATACTTTGTTTTATCGAGCTAAGAAGGTAGAAATATAAATACCTATACCAAATCACCGTAGTTTTACTTTGCACAACAATAACACTGGTATAATTAATTTTTTTATCACTTTAATATCACTAATGAAACACCACTCTAGATACCGATTGGGCAGCACTATCGCGTATACTTCTTGATGACAGCCAGAGAAAGACGAAGACGACGAAGACCATCAAATGCTTCTTGCAGCTTCATTTATACCCCACAGAATGACACTTCTTTTAGTATTGCCAACAACCTAAAGGAACGACTTCCTTTAGTGTTGCCAACAAAATAGGGACTAGGTTCTACAGCACAAGTAAAGGGAAAATTCCGAAAAATATAAAATTTAGGTAGGTACTTGCAAGTTTTCGCGAAAATCTAAGTTAGCCCATATCTTTTTATTGTGTCTACTCAGGATCTCCATTTTTATACACCAAATAGGGACTATACATCTCAGTATCTGGTATAAATTTCGACTGGCTAGATCCACCCGTTCTTAAGAAAATCGGTGATGACACACGGACAGATGGACAAGAGAGTGATCTTATAGGGGTTCTTTTTTAGATTTTGAGGTACGGAACCCTAAAAATGAGGGCACTTTCATAGCTCAAACTTGGAATGGACAGTAGTAGATTTATTTAAAAACTCTTTGATATTTCACTGCATAACATAGGAGAATCACAATTAAAACTCAACCGTATAATGGATACAGGCCCAGGAAACTTTACTAAATTATCTTTATTTTATATTATTATACCCTTTGAGATCTTAAATGTCAATTGGTTTCCGTTTTTAATTTAAATTATATTTATTTTTGTACACGACTTAAGGCTATATACGTACGTATGTATATAACCTTGCTGCGAACCCGACCGAGACTATCTCATCAGCGATATCAAACGGGTAAAGGTAGCCAGTCATTAGAGCGTTGAAAGGATTCATGCGTAATATACCGCGGTGGGGATTTTGAAATGACGAGGCCATTCCGTCTGCACCCACGCTGAGATAAATTATCCCGTGATCGGATGCAATATTAGCGTGATGGATGCACTTGTGTACGGGTGGTTGAACTCTACTCTTCCCCCCCCCTCCCTCCAGCCCCCTTCATCCCGTCTCGACGGATGGAACACAAAGGAAGTCTATCCAGCGTCGGAAGGGTACATGGAATGAGATTATTTACGGCAAAGTTCTATTAGTTAAAAATTTTTAGGAAATCGGGACTCAACGCCCGGTGTAGAGGTAACTTAAATGCGATACCGCAATGGTTTGATATGAAGAATATACAGATTCTTAAATCGTCGTCTGTGGAGTCAAGAAGGGAATAGAAAAGACACCAAAATATCTGCTATTTCTGTTCTACTAAAACAAATAACTTAAGTTAAACAAGTTAAAGTTGGAGGTTAAAGCAATTAAGCAGAAATAAGCGCGAAAGTTGGTTATTTATAGTTGGAGGATGCAGAACTTCCTCTAGAATTGAGTGTAGTTGGTCTCCCGTCTCATGTTCGAAGTAGGAGAAAGTTTATGGAGTGCGTTAGCGAATACGGGATGTTTCGTCCTGTTTCGATTTACATTAATAGCTGCATTTGAGAAAATATTAAATGGGTTTTATTAAAAAAAAAGTTTCCTCTGGTGTACCTCTGTCTCACTTATTTAGGATTTGTCTTTTCTTTCAAATCGTCGCATCAATTTTCGATAAAGATTTTTATTGCTTTATGTAAAGCAAAGATTTTAGTTCAAAGTTTTAATTTTGTAAACCACAGGAATAAAATTAAATAGCACATTCACGGCTTGACAGGGCACAATGATAGCGAACTCGCGAAGCAGAATTATGAGTAATGAAAGACTCAAAATATCATCATCATCATCATCATTTCAGCCTGTTTGAGTCCACTGCTGAACATAGGCCTCCCCCACAGACTGCCACGAAGTACGATCCTGAGCCACCTGCATCCATCGACTTCCCGCACATTTGCACAGGTCGTCACTCCATCTAGTGGGGGGTCGTCCTACACTGCGATGGCCAGTACGAGGCTGCCACTCGAGAACCTTTCTTCCCCAACGGTTATCGGTTCTACGAGCTATATAGCCGGCCCATCGCCTCTTCAGCTTGCTAATCCTCTGAGCTATGTCTATATTGACTCAAAATATATTTTGATATTATTGTTAAACAGTGTTTATGATTCCATTAGAGCAAAGCGAAAGTCTCTCGAGCAATCTCGCGTATTGTTACAAGCGGCAAAGGAAATCTGGTATCAATATCTATGAATTAATTGTGAGGTGATTAGTTGGGATTCATACAAATTCGACACAACACCGGTGAAATTATATATAATACTACGTCGAAAAGAAGCAAAATGTTTCTTTTTTCAATTCTATTTTTAATTTAGCAAAACATTAAAGAACAACCCTTTGCCCGGCCAACCCGAAACTTGCTAATTATTCCTAAACTTTCGGTCGGTGGAAAATCAACAAGTTCGCCGGTCGAATCTAAAAAGGCGGAAAGTCTAGACGAAATAAAAGCAAGACTGCGGTCGGCGGCGGACTTCATCCGTCAGGCGGCGAGCGTCCTGACGCAGCGGATGACGAGCAGTCCGGAGTGGCCGATGATATTGTATACAAATACGAAGTAGGTATAAGCTCCAAAATTGAGGAGGAACTGGTTTATGATAATTTCTTGTATTTACGCGATTACATATCATAAATGAAACTAATTTTACGGATTAGAGTCTGTCCCGTGACCATGAACGCGGTAAAGGGTTCGAAACGTCGGGAATTAAAATTAAACATAAACGCGATAAATCCGTAAAATTAGTTTCATTTAGGAACTGGTGTAATTAGATTGAAATACTATAGACTGCATCTCTTTCATGTATCATGACGTGTTCTATAATTATCATCTGTCACGTTCACTTATACAGCGTGTCGTTACCATCGCGACAATAAATGAACACACGTCTAACTGTACTTGCCAATAATCATAAAAAAATATTAACTTTAAACAAAATCCATAATAAAAAAAAAATTTTTTTCAAACAAACTAATTAAATAAAAAAGAAACAAAATTGTAACATCTTATACAACTCGCGCCACAGCGTCGTATTACAAGCCTCTCCTTCTAACAGTATGTTTTGTCTCTTTTAAATTCATTCAACCCATTCATATGCTTTGTGACCTTTACAAATGAACTTTACGATACGCTTTTATAGGTAAGGGTGTTCTAAAATTCTTTGTTTTGCAAAATTTTATAACTCTGTAAATATTGATGTTTAAAAAATTTAAATGTTTAATACAACTTTAAAAAGTTATCCCCTATATGTGTGTTCATTTATTGTCGCGATGGTAACGACACGCTGTATATCCTTAATAGTCCTTACTAATATTATAAACGCGAAAGTTTGTATGTATGGATGGATGTTTTTTACTTTTTCACGCAAATACTACTGAATGCATTTTAATGAAACTTTACAATAATTTAGTTTATACATCAGAATAAGACATAGGCTATAACTTATATACATATTTTATGTATTTCTGTCTTTCTGTCTGAATGTTACGCCTTGAGCCTATTCTACGCAGACGTAGTCGTGGGCAGCAGCTAGTGTCATATAATGTAAAGCGGAAAAAATTTCAAACGTCATGCAGTACGGACATGCGTCATCTTTGCATAGTATAAAGCGAAATCGCTCCAGTTATTTGTACCCTTAGATCTTTTAAACTACATAACGGATTTTAATGCAGTTTTCAGCGATAGATAGAGTGATTCAAGAGGAAGGTTTATACATTGCAACCCTACAAAGCCGGGACGCGTTGTCTTTATTATCATCATTGGGAGTCGCCGTGCTGCGGGCAGCGGGTGTCGCGCCATATCGACCGGTATCTAGCGGACTGAACAGACTAATAGGCTACCCACCTGTCTGTAGTGTCCTCAAAACCGCTTTGTTGTCGTCTAGACAAAACTTTACAGCAATATCTCTTTTTCACCCCTCTTCCCGCGCTTCATGTCGGATTTCCAGATAATTTTCTACGTTCTCTTCTCAAGTATTCCTCCAACAATCTTAGCACTGCATCGACACATTCATATCACAGGTCAGCATATATCTACTACGTGTTGCGATGTTATTTTACACTCAATGAATTGAATTCCAATAGGAAGGGATGGAAAACGTGAGAAGCCCGAAAAGCTTTACACATTAGAGTGATAAATGAAAATAAGGCCTTCTTCTAATTCATAGTAAAACTATCAGAAAATAATAAAAATATTAATTGCTTCGCTACATATTAAAATTGTCGAACCTATCGCGATGAGGATACTGGTACCGTAGACTTTGACATTTACACTTTTCTGAAATGCTCCCATTTTAATCAGTTTAGTAATATTTATTGGTAAATAAAGCAAGAAAATCACTTTATAATAATCACAAAAATATCAATCCGTCATTTTCATAAGAGATCGAAAAACTGTAATTTATACGATGTCGTATTTGGTCTAAATTAATTACCTGGCATTGAATAAAATTTATTTAAAAATAAATAAATTAACTTTGATCAAACCATTTCACATACAGCCGGCGTGATTTGAATGGAATCAGGGAGTATAATCGTAAACGATGTTTAAACCGCAATCGAGGGCTGCCACTCGAATAATTACGCGAGCGGCCATTATTCCCGATCGGGATTTGGAGCAGCTAAATTGCCAGTAATGGACTCGGAACAGCCTTTTGTCTCATCGAGGGTCGGAGCAGACTGGTTGGGTGCGGTGAGAACTCGGCGGCGAGACGAGGCGTCGCCCGGCGCAGACAACAAAGGAACTCAACAAGTGCTGCCGGCTCGTGTTCGGGGCTTAGGGCGCGTCCACACTTGTTTCTGATATCCTGGTCAATTTATATCGGGAAGGTGTCATTTAGTTCTCCAACAAAATACACATGAAAACATGCTTAGAACATAAATAAGTACATAGTATCTTAAACCAAATGGTATCACAATTTCAATTGAAACGGCATTAGAAAGTTATTATATTGACAACGGCTAAAAAAAGATTATTAAATTATATTAAATGCTAACAAAGGGTTAGTACAGTAGTTGATATTGTTATATAGAGTAACAAAAAACGAGAGCATCCGTAAATTAGTTTGACTTCAAAGAGATAAGCTAATGATTTCTTGTATTTACGGGTAAAAACCTGTAAATACAAGAAATGATTATCACTTACTATCAGTTGACCCGTTTACTCGTTTGCCTCCTTTTCCAAAACAAAAAGCTGACTGAACTCCGCATATGAACAGACTTAATCGTAGTTAATTGGTTAAGGTCATCCCTAAGTGAGAACGCTAAATGTAATAAAAAATTCTACGATATACGCCGTAGTAAGTGAAGAAATAAATTAAGCGGGAACAAAGAGAGTAAATGGAAACAAACCACAGGAGTTGAAATGTAATATGCATGTAATATTCCTTACTTTATAACAGTCTAGGTAATGCAAACAGAGTCCTAAGAGAAGACTGGGTAAAATAGCTTCAACGCCGTAGAGTTCTATTAGTTCCCTAATAAACGACGTCGGAACAGCGCAGACAGCCAGACGGAGAGACTTATCAAGTGAAAATCACTACATAGTATAAACAAAGTCGTTCCGCTGTCTGTCTGTCCCTATTTATGCTTAGATCTTTAAAACTACGCAACGGATCTTGATGTGGTTTTTTTTTATTAGATGCAGTGATTCAGGAGGAAGGTTTATATTGTGGGTCCCTACTTATTTATAAACAGCAAGTTAATATCTAATCTTTAGAAAGAAAATGATAGAGGTTTGCCGTTGTGTGAACGCAAATCACGAAAAACTACTGGTTGGATTTCAATTCATTTTTGAAAGCTTATATGTGATATCTTCATCTAAAGTAATTGAAGTTTTAAGAAACAAGATTATTATAAGCATTACGTGTTTAGTGATGTTTGTTTCCTTGCCGTGCTAGATAAAATACATTAATAATATAATAAGCAAACCAGACGAAGTCGTGGATTGTCTCTTGCACATAGTTTATATGATGCTCGCTAAAAATGAACAATTAACATTATTTACATTATCATATTAACATTAAGTTATTTTTAAAAAACGAAAATATATTTAAAGGATGTTTGTTTTCCTTATAAGGATAAATATTATGTATTACCAGACAATATATGTACTATCATAGCAAAAAAATATTATTTACTTAAACTCATACAAAAATATTTTCTATACTAAATACTACTTTAGCTTATTTCGAAATAGAAGAAACATTCCCATTATAAAATATTTTATTTCGCGTTTTATGAATCGCGTTTAGAATGCAACACCAACGAACTTGATTTAATTAAACATAAATAATAAGTTTTAATTAACCTCCAACCTTGAATTACGAAATATCTAGTTTTTGTGTTGGAATAATTTGCTGCTGAGATTTGATTGTGTGATATTTTCTTTTTATAACATAATAGACTAAGAATTTGTTTTATAAATTGACTTGTCAAGTCAGGTTTAGAGTTTTTGTTAATAATAGTATGTCTTATAAATAAATATGTAAAATGTTAAACATAGCTTAACAGTTTACATACTGCAATTTTAACTCAATCTTAATGTTTATCTATCGATGCCATCAATCTTGATTTAAGCTGCGAAAGTAGTTGATGTTCGAAACCTTATCAAATTGGAATTTAATTATAACTATATAAAATCCCTGAAAAATATTTGACTTAAAAACACCTCTTCTGATCATAGCGAACTCGCATTACTCGGATACAATGATAATAAATGAAAAGACGCGGCACGCGAAAACAAATTAAATTAATAATGTATAGAGACGCAAACAGAATACAAACATTCATGTTTTCCCACCCTAATAGAGTAGACAAAGCAATTAACTTCGCCGAGCTAATTGAGCACGAAATATGTGAGACTGTTCTTATTTTGCACGAATGAGATAAACTAAATAATATACTTATATATTTTTTTTGTATTTAAAGTTTACAAGCGAGCGGGCGGTTCACATGACGTTAAGTGAATACCGCCGCCCATGGACATCTACAACATCTACTGGCATGCAGATGTGCTGACAACCTTTAAAAAGCTACTATAAGTACTATAACATAATAAACTTGGTCCGCCATCTTGTTGTTACTTGGCGCGTAAATGACCTACCTGTCAAAATTAAAAAAAAAAAAAAACAACAGAGAGGGAAAGTAAGGAATTTCGTTTGTTTTAAAAAAAAATAGAATACGAGTCGCGTGCCATCAGCCGTCGTTCGTGACCTCGCACAATCTCAATAGCATTGTTGAGGGGCGCACGCGTCGCGCGGAATCGTAACAATGCGTTGTATACGAGGGCCGACGAGAATTTGACCCCGCTCTGTATGTAACCAGTGTGCAACGTGCATGCATATTCATGCCATTGTAATGCGCTAAGAGGGGACCTCTCTGTGGTGAGGTCGAGTTGAAATAATAAGTGACCCGAATAATGTATTTAACGTGCATATATTAAGAGTGAAAATTGTAAGGTTTGATTGTTAAGTACTAGTCAATTTGGCAGTTAGGTTATGTGTTCATTTATTTTGGTAAGATAGGTTAATCGTTTTGAATTTATATTGTCACATTTCACGCTTAGATCGATCGTGGGTATTTCGCACCGAAGATGACGTGACAAAAACATTCTAATGATAAAATGCTTGTCATGGTTTTTGTTACAATTAATTTTTTCCTCGAAAATCTTTTTTATCCAAGTCAATGAGGAAATACCCTGCTATTAGTTTAAATCAGTGTAAAATAATGATGAAACCAATTATATCCTAACCAGAACAACAAAAAAACCTGCTCTGGAGGCGGCATATTTGCATTGTTACTCCGATCGATTTGAAGAAAAAATTTTCTCCTGGTTTTCAAAAACACGGCGAGGTTTGTATATTTTTGATCACACTATACATAACCCAGACCCACCGTCCAAACGAAATGTTATCACGATAAATTGAACACGGCAATGCATATCCGTAATGCGTTAAAAATGCGCCCGCTTGTACAAGGTTTGTTTATCTGTGCATTATCATTTAAAAGAAGTTCGCTGTATTCAGCTCGGGTGCAAAGAAACCGCTGTTCGGGTGTCGAAATGGAAAAAAAATCGATCCAAAAAAATTTTACACGTCTAAAGATTATTTATTGAAGTAATAGAGCCGATTATTACTATCACACACTAAAGTTATTTCGTAGAGTTTAAACAAACACAGTATTTCTTATTTTCTACACAAATCGTTGTTGTTGTAGAAATCAGTCCGCACGGTATAAAATGAAATAACATCAGAGATCAGATCAATTTCAAAAGCAAACAACTTTCAAAGACAAAACTGAATACTGAAGTAACTCAGATATTAATTAAAGACTAAACCGACTGTGTTTAAATTAAACGAGAAAATTAAACACAATCATACCGTACCAGCGCCACGCTTCAAGTGAGAGTAGTAGATGATCCACATTGATAGTGAAGCCTTAGCGGTGGAAATACAATTCTAGAACGTTCCGTGGACATATTACAGCATTATTAAAAGAATTTTGTTTGCAGACGGTACAATAAGAGAACATTTTCAAGGCTATAATAACACTTTTAGCTACTTATATAACAGCTTCTTAAAGTTAATACAACTATTCTAAAACGAACGATTTGAAAACAACACCCAAAATAGCGCACGGCCGTGGACTACTTTTGGGAGGGGGCGATTGATGCAAAACAATTTCTTATTACGCGAATGCGGCACTACGCAGGAAGTGGATTCCGACAAAATAATATCAACAATAAAGCTGAGCTTGTTTTGAAGTCATACTTACTTCTTTTAGCGAATTCGGAAAATAATATGAGGGTAAAATTTTTACGATGCGCGCACACACCGACGGCCAAAAAGCGTCGTAAAATTGGTGGCAAAGCGACCAACTTCACTTGCCATTACCATGGCAACCGATAACAACTTTTTGACTTTTAACGTCTTTCACGACGACTACAAAGAGTACAGGCATAGGGGATAAAATTTTAAAAGAAAGTTATTTTTCTTTTGCTACGCAAAAGTAGTATAAGTTCTGACGTGTGTATTTATATATGTTTATCGGTTATCTAGTACATACAGGACGAGATTTCCTTAATTTGAGACTAAGTAACGTTGTGTAAACAGTATGCCCTGAAATATTTGGTAAGTAGCAAAAAGAATGAAATGCCAACAAGAAGTTTGTTGACGTATAATTAAAAAAAAAATTTAAACGATATAATCAACTCTCTTAGCGTTTTATCCGTGTTCCGATCGAAAACAACAATCATTACAAATGTCAGTAAGGAATGTTGTAGACATGGGTCGAAATGAATAAGAAATGTTTATTCAAATTAGACTTTGCTCTTCTCGGGTCCACATATGACGTTTTCGTGCTCAAAAATATATATTTTGACAGAAGCTTGTATATGTAGTTCATTAACATAATTCACAAAAAGAAAAATCCGTGATAGTTCGGTGATCGGACGCTTTTAATTCAGTATACAAGAGCAACCTGACTTCAAAGCCCGGTACCTGCACCATTGAAGTTGTTTATTGCAATTTTAATTCCTGATTTATCAGAATTATCGGTTATAGAAATCACACCGATAGTGCAGATTAATATTTGCGAAATAAAAAAAATAAAAATATTTCAATATATGTGAAGCCTACCAAACGGGATATGCCTTAATACCCTCAGTACAGAAGAAGTCTTTGCCTTAATCCAGCATATATTGGCTGTAACTTTACTTTTACATTACAAAAAGAACAAAGAGCGTAATAAAATGTCAGGTTAGTAGTAGATCAGTGATCAGATTGAATGAATATTTTTCTG